GTTGACGAACAATTGTATATGACAGATCGATATTTCTCAGCAAATGGAACCAGTCAGCCACGAGTCACACACACGCACACACGTATATCATGGGTGCTGAAAAGTTTTCAGCTTGACACACTTCTTAAAATATGATCAAACATTCTTGGTCGCCCGGGAGCTTTTCAGCACTCACTTCGTACATTAACAAACACACAAAGTGGTCATATTTCATTCTGTGCTTTTGCTTGCATACGTACCTTCCAACTCTGAACAATCTGTCTATTATTACATTATTTTATGCACCGATCAATAGTTGGATGTCATTCAGGCTGAATGGAAAGAAACTATACATTTCAAGTCTTTTACAAGTATATAAACGTACTCAAGATTTATAAATACAAACCTTTTTTTTTCTTCACCCCAAGCAATTCAAAACAACTAGAATGCTAGGGGTTACTGCGGTTGAAAGAAACAGAGGGGCCAATAAAAGAACAGGATTCAAGGAGGCAAAAGATGACAATATTTAAATTTTTAAACATCACAGTTGACAAGAAAGAAGAAAGGTGGAAGAGAGTTCCACAAGTGAGAAGTGCGAGAGAAGAAACTATTAGCATAGAACTTACGGTTACATCTAGCACCTCCAACAGCAAAATTATGAGACCTAGCTGCCAATCTGTACCTAAATTCATGAAGTCTAGGTAACATCGAGGGGAAACTCATCAGAACAATTACTGTAAAAATATTTATAAAAAAGGTGTAGGGAAGATACGTTTGTTTATTTCTGGTGATGATTGTGTTTTGTATGGACTACCACATATCCAAATTAAGATCTTTTCAATGAATTTCAATGACCAGCCTTTTAAAATTCACATACCTTTTATGTCAATATCTCTGAGATGAGGTAGTATGATTATTTACATTATTTGGACTGTTATCCTCATCTTCATTGCCATATTCACAATGTTTAGGCCATTGTACATTCTGGTCTTCATCAGGTGATTGAATCTCTGAGATGAGGTATTATGATTATTTACATTATTCGGACTGTTATCTTCATCTTCATTGCCATATTCACAATGTTTCACTGTTGTGCACTCCGGCCTTCTTTAGGTGATTGTAATTTTGAACTAAACCATTTATTTCCTCCACCGGGGTAGATAAAGACGTTGGTTAAAGTGACTAGATCCAGAGCTGTGAGTTCAGTAGCAGGCCACAGCAGTGGTGAACCAAAACTTGGAGAGCTGAGTTAAAGGGAAATAACTGAGACATCCAGAAGAGGCATGGCATGTGGAACTAGAACAATCTACCCTGGTGGATGAAATAAAGGGATCGGTTTGAAATTCCAGTCATCTGAAGAAGGCTACGTTATGAATATGGCAATGTTGATGAGGATAGCAGTCCGAATAATGTAAATCATTTAAGTAATCACAGACCTTTGTTAGTGAGTTCTGTTCTCACTGGCTTTCTCAATAACTTGGCATTTATTAGATGATGTAAAGTTTAATAAATAGCTCCTTTTTGTTGGTTTTTCTTTTTGTTATTGTTTGAGAAGAATCATTAATATTGTAACATTTATCTATTTATTATTTACCTTTTTTTTTTTTAGAGTCCCCCCCTTTTTTTTTTTTGTAGCTGTGTGAAGCAAGAAAACTGGTAGCAAACAAAAATTACAGGGCATTTTAAAAAAACATTTAATCATTTCACCCTAATCAAGACAATAAAGCTATAAACACTGCAGGTAGAATTTTAGAAATTTGTTGTGGGAGGTGGGAAACAAGCAAGTGGAATTTAAAAGAAAAAAAAACAGGGATTTGATTGTAAGCTGGAAAATTTTAAAAAAGACAGTCTTATAACAACCACAAAAATATTTGCAAATTCTGCCAACCGGAAAAATTAGCAATAATGACATTTCTGGATCTTAAGAACCTTTTGAACCAAAATCTGAAATCTTGAGTCCTTGCATACATATTAAGAAGTTCCTTTTAAACACATATGAGGCTGGATAAATAAAAAAAAATTAAAAAGAAAAAAATGTACATTTTAATTAACCTCCCACCAATACTTTTATAATACTCTTGCTTTTCTTCTCTTCTTCCTTCTTCTTTTTCTTTTTCTCCTTCCTTCTTCACATCCTCCTCCTCCTTTTCTATTACACCCAATGTCATGCATTTGTTTATTGATTTTTAAAAAAATAATATAGCGTTCATTAGCTTTTGTTTTGTTTTTTTAAATAAATCATTAAGAGGTCATTTGATAAAAATCGCCTGAGGATATTGTAAGGTTGAAACCAAGGTAGCAGATTCAACTGATCTTTTAAAGTTAAAAGCCGTACATGTTATTTTTACTTTTATTTTACTTTTTTCACATGTGTATTGAGCACTTTTTAATACCACTGTTTCTTTGTCTGATTTAACTCTGACCATTAACCTTTTATGTATTACATATATATGTGGCGGGGGAGTAGTAATTGTACAGTGTTAGTATTTGAATAAATATTAATATTTTTTTTTTTTTTTTTTTCAAATAATTCTTTTCATTATTCTTCAGTTATGTACTTTTAAATACTTTGTTTAATATTCAGTTTTTAAAAAGCATTTTTATTTGATTATATTTAACTTTTTAAACTTTTCCTTTATTTGAATAAATAAATATTAACTTTTTTTTATATAATTGTATTAAACATTCTTTGTTCTGCACAAATAGTTGAATAGAAACATTGAAATAAAGTTTCATATTTTTGTGTGTATTTTTTTAAATCTATGGTTTTATTTCATAATATTTAAATGTATAGACCTTAAAAATTTTGCTAAGTGGGCCGTGATATTTTCATTTGCTCCTCGGTGTGCCATTGCTTAAAAAGGTTGAGAAACAATGCCATAGATCCATTTGCTTTAAGACAACGAGTGTTATTTAAAAAAAAAAATTAAAAATATGTTCTATTATGATATGTAATCAGTAGTCAACTTCTTGCTTGTCTCTTAGTTTACAATACACTTTATATCTCTTTTGCTTAACATATGCAAATAGGTACAATCCTATTTACCAATCCACTACACCTCCCTGAACTGAAGAGGTCTAATGCTTTTAGTTGTTCTTGAAATTCTTCTACAACCTCCTCCACCCCTTGAGGTTTATGTTCTGTTCTTTTTAATAGAGAACTTTGTCTCATTCCATCTTCTTCCATTTGTGAGTCATTCCTGCTATCATCCATAAGCTCGTCTTCTATTGCATTGTCCTGATCTGAAAAAAAAAATCATCCTTTCTTCTCTGTCTCTGTCCATCAGTCATCTTCCTCTTCAATTCTGGGTCGAAATTGGTCAGAATGGGCTATTAGGCTTTTCCTTTCTTTGTTATAATGGCATGATGAAATTAGTTCTCCCAAGAATTACTTTCTATCTTTATTTTTTTAGCCCTAGCCTGGGCTGCAGTAAACTGGATCCAAGTCTCAACAAATTCTGTTTCATTCAATGCCATATTGTTTTAGTGTGTTGTTCTATGACACGTGATCAGTAGTCAACTCCTTGCTTGTCCCTTACTTTACTACATGCTTTTTATCTCTTCTATTTAACATATGCAAATAGGTACAATCCTATTTACCAATCTACTACACTTCCCTGAACCAATAATTTATGTAGGTAATAAATTTCTTATTTGTGATGTGACGATACAACTTTTTTTTATTATTTTGCTATCCAACTACAAATATCAGAAAGTCTTAAACTCAACAAGCCTATTTCTCAAATCAAAGCTTAGCAGACGTATGACAGGTATGCAGTGTTAAGGCAGTAGCCATCTTGTTTTGTCCGACCAATTGCAGATAAGACAACATCAGTACTACTTCCAACAATTGAAGAGCACGTCACCAGGAACATATATAATTTGAGATGGTTGGCTGCCATAGAGCGATATCCCACAATTACCCAGAAAAAAAAATGACAAACATTCTGTAATTATACATAAGAAAAACTTTGTCCACCCAATGAATCGGGAGATACACACTCAAAATATTGAGTTTTTGTGGTCTTGCCTAAAATCTAAAATTAAAAGAATGTTTGGTTCAGAGGAAGAGATGCTCTTAAACTATTTTAGGGAATTTATGTGGCAATAGAAAATGAAAGAAATGCCCGGAAAATCTATTATTTTCAAAATTTATAATTACAGATTTCTTGTCATGTTTATTTAAATTTTCTTCTTCACTGACATTTTTATAAATTTAGAAATAAAAAAATTCTTTTCATATTTATTTCTTTATAAAATGGTAGATAATGTTTCATTATAGTTGGTTCGCATATTTTTATAATCTTGTAAATATAAAGTTACTCTAGTAAATAAGCTATATCTATATAAAGTTGTCTGTCTGTCTGTTATTGAATTCCTCCTATATATATATTCTGAAACTACATTACCCAGGGTATTTGGATAAGCGTATTTCATTTTGATCAAAGGGGATCCCAGTGGAGAGTGGGGAGGACACTAACCACCACTTAAAATTTTTTTCCCTTTAATTTAAATTTGAACAATGGAATGACTCCTAATGAAAAATATAGGAGAAAGCCAGAAAATGGAGGTCACATTTACAAGATCATTGAGTAACATTGAAATGCATCATTTTTCTCCACAAATTATAACAATGATTTAAAATAAATCATGATTTTCTTAGAAAAAAATATGTGACACACAGCAAGGTGTGAGTAATTTGGTTAGTAAATAAATAGTTTTAATATCATCATTGTTAATTCTCAAGAATAAAGAAAATGTATATAACTGCTTTCAGGTGTTTGAATTTTATTAAAATTCTAGCTATGGCTTTTTAAAACCATAAAAATTGCCGAGGGAGTCAAGAGTGTATACAGTAATACCATTGTCAAGGAAAAAAAATTTCCTTTTGACACATCAATTTTTTTTATTTTGTTGTGGGTATTTATCAAATTTTTTTTTTTTCTTTCTTGATGAATCTGTCAGATTTTTCCCAATGAAGGATTTTCAATTCATTCATTTATTTTTTAAAAATTTTTCAGGAAAGCAATGTTTCTTTGTTTTGCGTCAACGTTATTGGACAGTCCAAGCTCTTGTTGCTGTTGGTCAAGATGTAAGCAAGCAGATGGTCAAGTTTACAGCAGGGTGAGTTTACAACTCATTTGATAAAATGCACTAATTTTTACTCATTATAATCACTTTCTTGCACCAAAAAAATCTTGCATTCATTGTTTTGCATAGACACGTATTTAACTCACCAACCATTTCACTACAAGCTTTCATTATTTGACTTCATCAGTTGGAGAAGCAAAATAAAAGGGAAGTAAAAAAAGGGGGGGGATTTCTTTTATTGAAGGAAATTTGTTGTTAGCAAGAAAGTTTCTTTTTACAATACTAGCTGAATACCCACCCTCCAAATTTCTCTTACTTTTTTAAAAGTTTCCTATAAACATTTACAGCAAGACGTCTATTTTCTAAAGTTCTTTTTGACATTATGCTAAGTCCACTTGAAGTCCAAACTTTGTACATTGCTACATAGTGCTGACCATGACAGAAAGATTTTGAATAATTTTCTTATGTTTATAATAATAATAATAATAATAAAATTTAAGGAAAAATTTGGACCTTTGTGCTTGAAAAAATCCAGTGGCAAAAGGACAGTTTTTTCCATTGACACCAGTATTATTTTAACTTAACCGGGTATTGAACTCACACTCTTTGGGTCCTGTCACTGGCTCTAACCAATGCATTTATACACTGTACCAGTGGAGAATTTGCAGAGGGGAATTAACAGGAGATAACTGATAACTGACATCCATTAAACATGGCATGTGGAACTAGAACAGTCTACCCCAGTGAGTGAAATAAAGGGTTCAGTTCGACTTTCCAACCACTTGTAGAAGGCTGGAGCATACAACATCTGAAACATAATAAATATGGCAACAAAAATGTGGACAATTGTCCGAATAATGTAAATAGTGTACATAATACCTCATCTCAGAAATATAGACAAATAATTGTCTGAAGTGACATCATGTGAGCCACGTGACTTATCTCCACCAAAGGGAGATAATTGTCTTTTACCACAATGTAAACAACAATATTGTTTTATGGTTTATTAATTATAGGAAGCAATATGTAGGATGTCATTTGTTTATAGTGGAATTGTATTTCTTCTGTATAATCTCCATGTTGAAATGCATTTAATTTGACAAGATGAATTTAAAAGGAGACATTTGTGTCAGCCTGCTAGATTGTTGATTGACGTTGGATTATTAAATGTCAAAATTTTTTGTGGGGAGGGGCACTTCATTGAGGATCAAACTATAGTAACCATCAACCAGACTGGTTTTATTAACCATTACTCCACACAGAGATACCTATTTCATTAGGTTGGTTGATTTTTATATGTCATCTCCTATTGGATTAGTTAATGTCAAATTTTGTATGGGGCACCCAGTGAGGATAAAGCTCACTACTCAGTAGTAATGGTCAACAAGACTAGCTTCACAAACCATTACCCAATCCTGAAGTGCCTGAGTGAGGTAAGTGATTCACAGCTAATTTTAGGTGACTCTTTCCACTTGTTTACCCTACAGTGCTAAAGCCTCACAACACTTTGTAATCTAGTATATCGAGTCAACCCTAAATCAAGAGCTTTTTTTTTCTTTTGTCTTTTTTTTTTCTTTTGTCTTTTTTTTTCTTTTGTTGTTTTTTTTTCTTTTGTCTTTTTTTTTTTTGTTTTTTTTTTTTTGTCTTTTTTTTTTTTGTCTTTTTTTTTCTTTTGTCTTTTTTTTTCTTTTGTCTTTTTTTTTCTTTTGTCTTTTTTTTTCTTTTGTCTTTTTTTTTTTTTGTCTTTTTTCTTTGTATTTTTTTTCTTTTGTCGTTTTTTTTTTTTTTCTTTTTTTTTTTTTCTTTTTTTCTTTTGTCTTTTTTCTTTTTTTTTTTGTCTTTTTTTTTTCTTTTGTCTTTTTTTTTCTTTTGTTTTTTTTTTTCTTTTGTCTTTTTTTTTTATTTTTTTTTTTTATTTTTTCTTTTTTTTTTTTTTTTTTTTTTTTTTTTTTGTTTTTTTTTTCTTTTGTCTTTTTTTTTTCTTTTGTCTTTTTTTTTTCTTTTGTCTTTTTTTTTTCTTTTGTCTTTTTTTTTTCTTTTGTCTTTTTTTTTTTTTTTTTTTTTTTTTTTTTTTTTTTTTTGTTTTTTTTCTTTTTTCTTTTTTTTTTTCAAGTTTTTTTTTTGTCGTTTTTTTTTTTTTTTTTTTTTTTTTTTTTTTTTTTCTTTTTTTTTTTTCTTTTTTTTTTTTTCTTTTGTTTTTTTTCTTTTGTTTTTTTTTTTGTCTTTTTTTTTTTTTTCTTTTTTTTTTTTTTCTTTTTTTTTCTTTTGTCTTTTTTTTTTGTCTTTTTTTTTTTTTTCTTTTTTTTTTCTTTGTCTTTTTTTTTTTGTTTTTTTTTTTTTGTCTTTTTTTTTTTTTTTTTTTTTTCTTTTGTCTTTTTTTTTTTTTTTTTTTTTTGTCTTTTTTTTTTTTTTGTCTTTTTTTTTTCTTTGTTTTTTTTTTTTTTTTCTTTTTTTTTTTTTCTTTTGTCTTTTTTTTTTCTTCATTTGTACAGTGTAATTTATTGTGTTCACATCAAGGCGATCCTAATACCTGCAAGTTCAAATAAAATATATAAACATTATACTTACTTCTATATCTTGAATAATAAACTTGATCTGTAAAAGTAAAAATTTCTTTAAAAAAAAAATTTCTTAATCCAATTCCAGTAACAAACTTTCACATGTTAACTGTTGGCCCCAGTCCCTGAAGAGCTACATGTGCCATAAAGGCCTAGGTTAAGGATAGCCTTGATCCACTTACAATAAATTGATATTTGTTTTAATTTTTGTAGGATTGTGCTTTATTTTGCAACTTTCACCGGGCAACTCCTGAGAATTGGCAAATCTCCATTGTGCCACAGAAAATGCCTTCAAATTTTTCTTTTTTTCTAAATATCTGATATTGTTTTTCTCTTCAGGATCAACAAAGAATCCATTGTTGATATCGAGGCTTATGTACGAACTGTACCCCAGAAAGTCGAAGCCTGTACCCAGCAAGATGTGGAACTTCATGTCCTTCAGGTAAGTAGGTTTTCTTTAAGCATTTCTAACTACACAAGCCATTCTTCTTCTTCTTGTATTCTGACCAGTATACTTATTATTGTTATTTTTAAAAATTTAGTTAAAATAAAGATGAGTCAAATTAATAATAATAGTTCACAAGTTTTTTTGGGCTTTCATGGCTCTCCCCAACATCTTATGCTGCTCTAAGTCTCACACTACTTGCTTGTGGAACTCTCTTCTGGCTTCTTGCTTTCCAGTCAAGTTTTATATTCAAAAATTTAAATGCAATGTCAATCATTATATTCTGCCTTCTTAATCCCTGTCCTTTTATTGTCCTCTCCCCTTAATGTTTTTCTTATATTCTTTCACACTCAGTAACCCTGTTTCTTAGTGGCTTTATTGCCTTACTTGGGATGCAATGATTAAAAAGAAAAGAAGTAACTTCTAACCTTTTACTATTCCTTTTTGTCCTTGTTCTGCTATCTATTCTAGTTCATTAAATAGATTTTTTATTTTCTCTGTTGTGTCCTGTGTGTGTTAAAATATACCAGGCTTTCTTTCCTCGTGTGTCTAAAGAATTTCACCTTTTACTATCTCATTGTTAGTATCATTTTCTTTGTAGTTTTTATTTTCCCTATAACTTCCTCATTGCTCACCTGTTCTGTCTATAGTATTCTTACCATTTGTCAGTAGTATGCATCTTTGTTGCTTCAAGTTTCTTTTTCATCTCTGACGTGATTGTCCAGCATTCACTGTCATCTGGATTAGATATCACATAACAGTTCAGCACTCCTGTCTTTAATTCTAAGCACATTTTCCTGTCTCTTAATACTTTGCTTACTTTCTGGGAGACATCTTTGGCTACTCCTGTGTGCCTTTTGATTTCACTTTCACTACTCTACCCAGATAGTTAAATTGCTTGATTTTGATGTTCCCATTATGTAAACTGTCTCTTTTGCCTATGACCATGCATTCTGTCTTACAGCTAATACTGATAATATGTGTAAAAAAAAACATATGACTCTGATAATGATCATGGAATAGAGTGATGTGTTATAAGTTAAATTTGGTCTTCTGCAAACCAGTTAGGTCCTTGTAGCCTAGTAGTTAAAGCAGCTGGTGTGTTCAACCAGAGTTCACTGGGGCAAAAGAGTTGTGAGTACAAATCTCAACATAAGCACATCAGTTGTTTTCAATCTTGCACAAGTTTTAAAGTAAATGGAAACAAAAAGGACACATATGTTTAGAATCAGAAAGACGTGGCTGCAATTTATAGGACACATTATAAGGAAGGAGGGCTTGGCGAATTTCACTTACAGGACAAAAAACTTAGGAGGAACTAACAAACTACCTATCTGATATGTCCTGAAAAGGGATATATTTGTTCAAAGTAGCAAAGTGGTTGTTGACTACTGTAACTGGGTAGGACAATCTAGCAGGTAACCATAATGGACTGGTCCTCGTCGTAGTAGTTGGTAATAGGTGAAAACAATAGGCATAGCCAATAGGCGTAGTCCTGTACCTCCACATCAGTCTGTATTTATGGTTGGCACCAGCCAATCATATTACTGTGAGGGGGAACCCAGGTATATGGATATTCATTACATCACTATCTGACCAGTTTGTGTGAATGGATGGTAGAACAGGAAGTGGAAAAGATGGTAGAAAGATTAATGGTGCAAAGAATCTGCAATGTTATCGGTTCTGACCTGGCATCTTGGCTTCAGTCATTTTCCTACTGTCTTAATGTAGCTTCCCTGTGCATTTTCTATAAATAATTTCATAGTAATTGTTCTAATGAACTTTACTCTATGGTATCTAGACTTTATGAATTTAAATGGAGTACTAGATTGGTAGCAAGGTCTTATCATCTTACAGCTGAAATGGCTAGATGTAACCGTAAGTTCTATGTTAAGTTTCTTCGATCGCACTTCTTGGTTGTGGAACTCTCTTCCTGCTTTTTGCTTTCCTGCCAACTTTGATCTTCAAAAATTTAAATGCAATGTCAATTGTTTTAAGGAGAACGAACAATAAAAAAAGAGACTGACAGAAGTCTCCCTCTTTTATTGTTCTTTCTCCTAAAATTATTTTTTCCCTTTTTATTCTTACACACTCAGTAGCCCCTCGTGTCTTAGAGGCTTTACGGCTTTGCTTGGGGTAAATGATTAAAAAAAAAAAAAAAAAAAAAAAAAAAAGCTACAAATGAAAGGAAGTTGTAGAGATCCATGATCACCCATGCCCTGAAAAACAAAAGAACTACACATTTGTTAATTTTCACATCTATCACAAATAAAATTGGGTCCCATTCAAGAACTCTCAAATGCAACAGACACCCAAAGGAGCCTGAGCTTATGGCTACATCATTTTGAAACCCCGGTTCCTATATGATGACTGAAGTTAAGCAGCATTGAGCCTGGTCGGTACTTAGATGTGTGACCGCTTTGGAATACCAAGTGCTATAAACTTGAATGTGTAGGTGGTTTAATGAGTAATGGCTCGGAACTGTTAATTGGAAAACTGAGTTCCAATTCCATTTGGGTTCGGAAAAGGTATGAATCCATTGCTTCTCCTCCCAACTATAGGTTTGTATCATTTATTATCTCAAAAAACAAAAAATCTCTTAGAATCAAAAAATATTTTCTGACTATAAATAACTTGGAAAGGGTTGATAAACTGTAGAAAAATGAATGAATCAGAGAAGCCCAAAGAACTTATTGGCTGAAAAGTCATAATCAAAACAACAAGGATGAAGATACAAGTGTGAATGACTTAATGGAATAAGGGCAGTGCTTTGTCTGAGAACTTCACACAGTATGAGGAAAGACAGAAATCATAACAGAAATTTTAAAAACAACAAAGATAATGATACTAGTGTGAATAATAATAATAATAATAATAATAATAATAATAACTAAACCACCCATAAAGCCATTAGGTCCCTTTTAAAAGCAGTTCATGATACAAAATGATGAGGTAACAATATTATCCATTTTATTATTAATTACACATAATTTAATTTGTATCTTAAAAACAAGTTATTTTAATAATTATTATTACTTACATTATACTATATTAATTAGATCATATACTATAAGTAATAATAATTATATTTTTTATTTTTAGATCACATGCTATAATAAAGTAATAATAATTATATTTTTATGCTTGTTTCTTCCTTAAATTTATTTCAAAATAAGTAATGGCAGCAAATCAATGTGCATCTATTTATTTATTTACCATCAAGTCATGTGATACAATTTTCCAGCTATACAGATTAGGTTTTATAATGACACACCCACATAGAAGCTTCAACTATCAAGTACTTGTCAAAGATCCAAGATATTTGTTTATAAAAAAAAAGTTCTAATGTAGTGTAATGAATTATATAAATATATGTGTTATATTTAAATTCATTTAATAATGTTGTTATAATGTATTATACATGTTTATTATGAGGGCATTGTTTGAATTGGAGTGATCAAAACAACAAAGATGAGGATATTTGAGCAATGTGCATAAATAATAGTAAGACTTGCTTTTCTAACTTCAACCACACAAATAATTCTTCTGTCTCTCTGCTTATTTCTGAGTTAAATGAAAGTTTTTTTTTATTCATTCCACTTCCACCATTAAACTTTTATTTATTCCATTTGCTTTCAGGTGTGGGTAGTGAGTACAGCTGCACCCCAACTTCCAATGTTGGTTGAAGATGCTGCTCGGCCAGAGACTGATGTAAGTGAACCTGTTTTCATTCTACCACTCCCCATCTCTCACTACATTCTGTTTCCTTCTGTTCTTTCTCTCCAACTTAAACTTATTTTTTGTTATCTCTCAAGCTGTTTCTTTTTGCCGTCTCTCAAGCTGTTTCCTTTTCTTTCTCACCTTGTTTCCTTTTTCTTCTCTCTCTCACTCTTTCTTAATGAGTTCACTTCCCCCTGATTTTCTCTCATTCTGTTTCCTTTTCCCTCTTTTTCTGTTTCTTTTTCCCCTCTGTCTCTCAATATGTTTCCTCCCTCCACTGTCAACCAGTTTCTTTCTCCCATTTCACTCAACATGTTCCTATTATCCTTTCTTTCTCTCAGTGCATTTCTTTTACCCCTCCCTCTCTCTCTCACTCACTTAATGTTTCCTTTCCTGCTCTTTTGCTGTCTTACTATGTTACTCCTTCTCATTCTCTTTTCACTGTTTTTCTTTTATCATGCTCAACTTGTTTTCTTCCACTTCTCTCTTGCCCAGTTTCCTTTTGCCCCCTCTCTTGATCTGTTTCCTCTATCCTTCATTTCTTCTCTTTCTTTCTCACAACATGTTTAATTTTTCTTCTGTTTCCCACATTTCCTTTTTTTCTCTTTCCCACATTTCCTTTTTTTTTTTTTTTTCCTTTTCCCCCCCATTTCCTTTTTGCTCTCTTTCCCCCCATTTCCTTTTTGCTCTCTTTCCCCCATTTCCTTTTTGCTCTCTTTTCCCCCATTTCCTTTTTGCTCTCTTTCCCCCATTTCCTTTTCGCTCTCTTTCCCCCATTTCCTTTTCGCTCTCTTTCCCCCATTTCCTTTTGCTCTTTTCCCCATTTCCTTTTTGCTCTCTTTCCCCCATTTCCTTTTGCTCTCTTTCCCCATTTTCCTTTTGCTCTCTTTCCCCCATTTCCTTTTGCTCTTTTCCCCCTCTCTTTCCCCATTTCCTTTTTGCTCTCTTTCCCCCATTTCCTTTTTGCTCTCTTTCCCCCATTTCCCCTTTCCCCATTTCCTTTTTTTGCTCTCTTTCCCCATTTCCTTTTGCTCTCTTTCCTCCATTTCCTTTTGCTCTCTTTTCCCCCATCCATTTCCTTTTTGCTCTCTTTTCCCATTTTTTTGCTTTTTTTTTTGCTCTCTTCCCCATTTCCTTTTTTCTCTTTTCCCCATTTCTTTTTTTCTCTCTTTTTGCTCTCTTTTTTTCCTTTTTCTCCTCTTTTTTCATTTCCCTTTTCCTCTTTTTTTTTTTCCCCATTTTGCTTTTGCTCTCTTTCCCCCCTTTTGCTTTTTGCTCTCTTTTCCCCATTTCCTTTTTTTTTGCTCTTCTTTCCCCATTTCCTTTTTCTTTTGCTCTCTTTCCCCCATTTTCCTTTTTTTCCTCTCTCTTTCCCTTTTCCTCTCTTTCCCCCATTTCCTTTTCTCTCTTTTCCTTTTTTGCCCCCCATTTCCTTTTTTCTCTTTTCCCCCATTTCCTTTTTTCTTTTCCCCATTTCCTTTTTTCCTTTTCTTTTTCCCCATTTCCTTTTTCTCTCTTTCCTTTTGCCCCCCCCCATTTCCTTTTGCTCTCTTTCCCCCATTTCCTTTTTGCTCTCTTTCCCCCATTTCCTTTTCGCTCTCTTTCCCCCCATTTCTTTTTTGCTCTCTTTCCCTTTTTCTCTCTTTCTCACATTTCCCTTTTCCTCTCTTTTTCCCCCATTTTGCTTTTGCTCTCTTTTCCCCCATTTTGCTTTTTTCTCTTTTCCCCCATTTTGCTTTTTTGCTCTCTTTTTTTCCCCATTTTGCTTTTTTGCTCTCTTTTCCCCCATTTTGCTTTTTGCTCTCTTTTTTTTCTCTCTTTCTCTTCCCATTTTGCTTTTTTTCTCTCTTTTTCCCCATTTTTTTGCTCTTTTTCCCCCATTTCCTTTTTCTCTTTCCCCGATTTCCTTTTCGCCCAATCTCTCTATCCCTTTTCCTCTCTTTCTCACATTTCCCTTTTCCTCTCTTTCCCCCATTTCCTTTTTGCTCTCTTTCCCCCATTTCCTTTTTGCTCTCTTTCCCCCATTTCCTTTTTGCTCTTTTCCCCCCATTTCCTTTTTTGCTCTTTTTTTCCATTTCCTTTTTTGCTCTTTTTCCCCCCGATTTCCCCCCCTTTTCCTCTCTCTATCCCCATTTCCTTTTGCTCTTTCCCCCCCATTTCCCCATTTCCCCCCCATTTTTTTGCTCTTTTCCCCCATTTTTTTTTGCTCTCTTTCCCCCATTTCCTTTTCCTCTTTTTTCTTTTGCTCTCTTTCCCCCATTTCCTTTTGCTCTCTTTTTTCGCTCTCTTTCCCCCATTTTTTGCTCTCTTTCCCTTTTCCTTTGCTCTCTTTCTCACATTTCCTTTTTTCTCTCTTTTTTTTTGCCATTTTGCTTTGGTTTCCCCCATTTCCCCATTTTTTTGCTTTTTTTTCCCCCCCATTTCCCTTTTCCTCTCTTTTTCCCCCATTTTTTTTGCTCTCTTTCCCCATTTCCTTTTTCTCTCTTTCCCCCATTTCCTTTTTGCTCTTTTTTTCCCCTTTCCCCTTTTTTTTCTCTCTTTTCCCCATTTCCTTTTGCTCTCTTTTTCCCCATTTCCTTTTTTGCTCTTTTTCCCCATTTCCTTTTTGCTCTTTTCCCTCATTTCCCTTTTTTCTTTTTCCCCCATTTCCTTTTGCTCTCTTTTTTCCCCATTTCCTTTTCGCCTCTATCCCCATTTTTTTGCTCTCTTTCCCCCACATTTTGCCTTTTCCTTTCCTTTTTCTCACATTTCCCTTTTGCTCTCTTTCCCCATTTCCTTTTTTTGCTCTTTTTCCCCCATTTCCTTTTTTCTCCCTTTCCTTTTTCCCCCCCATTTCCTTTTTTTTTTGCTCTTTTCCCCCATTTCCTTTTTGCTCTTTTTCCCCCATTTCCTTTTTTGCTCTCTTTCCCCCCATTTTTTTTGCTCTCTTTTCCCCATTTCCTTTTTGCTCTTTTCCCCATTTCCCTTTCTCTTTTCCCCCATTCCTTTTTCGCTTCTATCCCTTTTGCTCTCTTTCTCACATTTCCCTTTTGCTCTCTTTCCCCCTTTTCCTCTCTTTCCCCCTTTCCTCTCTTTCCCCATTTCCTTTTTACTCTCTTTCCCCCATTTCCCTTTTACTCTCTTTCTTTCTCGTATTTCCTGGACCCTTGAGAATAGCAGCCAAAGAATCCCTCTCAATGAAAATATCAAATTCAAAAATCCCCTTTAAAGACTTGAAAGCCACAATGAAACTCTTACATCCTCAACTAATGGCAAAAATCATGGAATACACAAACAAAAAACTATATCAAATAAAATCCATTCTGACTGTACAACATTACAGTACCAGACATTCAAGAAAAGATGATTTTACATAAGAACCAAAATCAGACACACCCACATAATCCACTCCTTCCTCCTAAAAAATGAAGACCCTCCAAAATGCCTGAACTGCCAAGAATTACTCACTGTCAAAAATTTTTAATTAACTGCAAATATCTGGCATTTATATGAAAATAATTCTACAATGTGCCCAAACTTAGGGCCCTCTTTGAGTATTGAACCCAAAGCCATTCTAGAATTTTTAAAAGTAAAAAAAACAAACTCTACCCCAAAATATTAAAAGGAAACTGAATAAACACCCATCTACAATAATGCAACTAAAGCCGAATTACATCCCCACCTTTATATAACAACACTTATAAAAGAATTTGTTTGCAAAATAAAAACAAATCTTAAAACTACCCTATTCAGTGCAAAATGATCCTTGGGTTTGGTGTGTCGGTAAAATAACCCGTCTAAATTTAAAATTATATTTCTTTTTTCCTCTCTCTTTCTCTGTCTCTCTCTCTCATATCTCCTTTTTCCTTTCTCTCATATCTCCTTTTTCCTTTCTCTCATATCTCCTTTTTCCTTTCTCTCTCTCTCTCACATATCTCCTTTTTTCTCTTATAATATATTCCTTTTTCTCTCTCCCTCTCTCACAATATATTTGTTTTTGCCTCTCTCTCTCAACACATTTCATTCATCTTCCCTCTCTCTCTCTCCCTTCTGCCTTCTTCCTCCAACCTCTCTCTCCTCTCCCCCTCTCTCTTCTTTTTCTTCTCTTTCTCTCATAATATATTTTTTTTGGCTTTCTCTCTTTCAACATATTTCTTTCTTCCTCTCTCTCTCTCTCTTTCTCTTTGACTCTATGTGTATGGAATCCTTTTTTTAATAAACTCAAAATTAAAGATCTTCATTTTTATCAATTGATTTAATCTGTATAAATAAGTTTCAGTTTTGTTGTTGCATTAATTCTTAAAATGAAACAATTACCTAATAATTTGTGAGCAAATAAAAAAGGATTTCCTTGTCCGATTAAAGAATTCACTGAAATACACAGTTTAATTTTGCTGAAAGAAATATATCTTTAGAACTTGCACATAAATATATTTGTACTTTTATTTTTTTATTGGACATTAATTTATATCCCCTGATTTTGGTTAAAGATTCTTTGTTCTCTCACCTTTGCCTTTTTGACAGGAATTAGCCAAAGTAAATCAAGATACACGACTTGATAATCGAGTTCTTGATTTGAGGACCACAACCAGCCAAGCAATATTTAAACTGCAAGCTGGCATCTGTGCTCTCTTTAGAAAGTTCCTCACGCAACAAGGATTTGTTGAAATACACACCCCCAAAATTATTTCTGGTAAGTTTGTGAGGCCTTCTTATTGATTGATTTTTTTAAAAAAAAGTCTTTTTCCTTGGTTCCTTAACAGGTCGGCATCTTGGTATTTTACGTTTCTATTAAAGTTGATTGATTTTACTGTCTTCTTCAAAATTCATGTTGTAAACATAACAATGTGAACACACCCAAGTGTTTTACCAATCAGCTATTGGTTAACCTACATTGCATCTCTGTCCTAGTTTGCATCAGTACATGAAAAAGCTGAAAAATGGCCTTGCTGCATGTTTGCAATGTAATGAAGATGAAAAAACAAATGGCACATTGAGAAATGAGAATGCAAACCCTGTTTTCCATATTATAAAATACGTATTTTTATTCAGGGCTTTGCTTGTTTATCTGGATGGGTCGTTAGATGTAGATTAAGTGACTCTGGTTCAATGTTAATGGTAGAAATGCCCAACAGAATTGACAAAGTTTGGTTTGTTTTGTTTTATGGTATATCCACCTTAATGGGTTATTTAATGCCAACAAGATTTTTATTGCTGATAATATTTATTCCAAAAATGCATTGCTGGTAATATTTTTTTCCTTCAAAAATGTATTACTCGTAATAATTTTTCCTCAAAAATTTATTGCTGATATTAAAACCTATTTTTACACTTTCATAGTGTTTTGACCTCAATTTGGGTTTAACTATTTGCCCCTAGCTGGGACCCTAACAGGTGCTACCACCCTGGGTCAGGATAGACCTGGGAACACCAGCAATTAAGAGGTGGTTCCACGCTCCTCAAAACCTCCTGAACAGAGGCCTTGCTGTCGGATGTAGTTTAAACACCATGATGCAATTCACTCCACCAGAAATTTGGAAGCGACATGCTGTACTGCTTGGTATTAATGCTGGAAGCTTCAATAAGAACATTTCAGAGTGTTTGGATATCAATCTAAGGACAGAGGATTTGGAAAAAGTTTCGAAGTCTAATGGTGTTTACGAAGCTACGGCAGCTCGGTAAACTCACTCTGATTGTTCTGATAAGAAAACAACTGAATTTATAGATGAATGCCTCAGACTCAACACTGGGGGCTACATCAAGTACCTTGAGGAGGTAGTGCTGCCCTTGGTCAAGAAGGTGGCTGCTTGAAGACCCTATGACTGGCAACAGGACTCTGCACCATGCCACACAAGCAGAAGAACCCAGTCATGGCTGTTTGACAATTTCTGCAACCACATTACCCCTTACATCTGGCCACCTAACTCCCCAGACTGCAACTCCTCCAATTATTATGTGTTGGGCACATTTGAGCAAGAGACCAAAAAAAACTTTTTGTAACATCAAAGATGAACTGAAGGCAAGGATTATGGCAGCATTCATCAACTTAAACAAGACCATCCAAAAGAGTTGCAGGAGATTCCGATGTTGTCTGGAGGCAGTGATTGAAGCCAATGGTGATTTTTTTTTTTTTTTTATTGAATAAATTTACTCTTTAGTATTATTTTGGTAAATATATCTGTTAATATAAGATGTCAGTGTCATTTCCATTCGGGATGTTGGCGATCATGGCTCTCCACAATTTCCTGTCCCTTATAGCTCCTAATTTAATTTTGTCTTCTTGTTCTCTCTCCTAAACCTTACTCTGCCATGCATTTACTCAAGTTTTCTAGGCAGGTTATGTATTGTTTTCCTTTGAATGCTAGAGATTATTTTAAGAAGTAAGAGGGTACAAATAAAAAAGATTTGAAATTGAAAAGGTTTTCCATTTCACAGAAACACATTAAGCTATCGTCTCTTTCGTTCTTTTTCCCTAAAACCAAACACTGTTTTTCTTAATTCTATCCTTGTAATCAAGCAAGAATAGTCCATTATTTATTTGAGGTAATGGCAGGGCGTGACGTATGTGCTAATTAATGAAAGAGCAAACATAGCTGCTTTGTCTATATTGTGTTAAAGTTCTCAGAATATATTTATTCAGTTTGTCTGTATTGTTAACAAGAATTCACAAGTTATCTCCCTTGAAACGCTTGGCATTGAAAATATTTTTTAATCGCTGAAAATTTTTGTTTCTGCTCGAATAGTTAATATTATTAAATAACAAGAAATGTTTTCTTGAATTTTTATTAAATGAATTATTTTTACGCATTAATAATTTTTGTCTGATATATTTTTCATCTTAATTTCACTTGCTTTTTGTTGCAACTACTCAGGTTGTCATTGTATTATTTTATTATTAAATAAAGTTTTGTCAACCATTATTTTTTTTTCTTTTTGACTTTTATTTCTCTCATCTTAAATTTACTTTTCATTTCTACTCAGACTTTCGTTCTATTTTTTTAATCATTTCACCTCAAGAAAGGCAATAAAGCTACTAAGACAAGGAATTTCTGAGTGTTAAAGAATATGAGAAAAAAATCATTAAGGAGAGAGCAGAATAAAAGAAGAATTAAGAAAACAAAAGATAACAGGACTAATAACATTGAAGATTCTTTGGATTTTATCTAAAATCTCTAAATACATAGCAGAAGCACCAGACCAGATGTGGCAGCAATATTCAAAGCATGGATGAATGGTAGACTTATAAATGTGTAAAATTGATTCTGGCAAGAAAAATAGTCTAGCATGACACAGCAAAAAAAAAAAACTTTCTGTGTTTCATTTTGTTTCGTTTTTGCATGTCTGCATGTTGAGAGTGTTCTATGTGAAAACCAGACAAGACAAGCAAAAGTGGCTAATGGCATTGCATCTAAAGCACTTTCTGACATCAACTTCCATGCTTTGCATTAGTTGCTGCCACCACAACTTCCGCCATCTCCTCATTTCTCATAATCGCCCCGATTCGGGCATGTATCTGGCCAATAGACAGCACATCCATCCTAGACGATGCATGAAGCGTCTGCTTTACATCACATGGCAACCTGTGCACAAATGCACACTTTCCTAACATCAGAACTATCAATTGATTCAATAAAATATTATTTTACTATTAAATGAAGCATCGTCATTCATTATTATTATCCTCATTATTTTTTTTTTTTTACTTGTATTTCATCTGAAACCGAACTTATTCCCTATTTCTGATTAGTGTTATTTACTCAACACTGTAGACTGACGGTCTGAGTAGTTGCAAATGAAAGCAACTGAAATTAAGATTAAAGAAATAGTAGTCAAAAATGAATTATAAAAGATATTTTATTTCAACATTTTCTAACAATTTTGTTGAGAAACTGTATTTCAATTTTAGATGATTGACTTGAAATGTCAATTAATGTTGTCCATAATACTTTCCGACATTCTATTCAAATTCTAGAATAATTGCCCATGGTAAATTTTAATTGGCCGAATTAACAAAGTTTCCAGCAAACAATAAGAAAAGAAAAAAAAGAAAAAAAAAAAAAGAGAGAACAGCAAAATAATACTAAACAAACAATATTTAAGGACAATACTAGACTGTCATCATGATCTCATCAGTTGACAGTTTAGCTGGCTAGATGTAGCTGTAAGTTTTATGCTAACAGTTTCTTTTCTCACACTTCTCACTTGTGGAACTCCCTTCTGGCTCTATTCTTTTCAGCCAACTTTAATCTGCAAAAATTTAAATGCAATTAATATCTACTGTCCTCCTTATTACGCTTTTCTTTTTCCACTCATTATTAATGTTTCTATTACTAATTCTTCCACACTCTGTAACCCTTCGCGTTTTGGTGGCTTTGCTGCCTTGCATGGGGTGATATAAATTTAAAAGAAAAAAAATATATGCAAGACAAAACTAAGCAAAGAAACACTAATAAAGCGAAAACATGACAAAGTAAGAATGGTGTTAACATGCAAAAAGAGATGCAAACAAATGATTGAAGTGTTCTCATTTCAAGATAAGAAAACAAAAATATGGCAGATAACACTGAAAAGTAACCAATCTTATTGACTAGGAAGTAAACCCAGCATGCATCTGTATGTTTGTCTTTATGTTTGGAGAGGCGGGAACATTTTTGCAGTCATTCTCATGCCAATTGGAACCAACAGAAATTCTTTTTAATTTGAAAAATAATTCTAATTATTGACCATTAATAAATTCTAGGTTTTATTTTCTTTTTCTGTTAAAGAAAAAAAAGATCCGCTAAAAGCTTTGCTGATTTTTTTCTATACACTTAATTTTTGTCCATAAAAACATTCAGGTCACGAAACTAGAAATACTATTGACCTTGTTTTTTTTTTATTTTTTTAATTTTTTTTTAAGCAGCACCTAACCCCCATTACTTTAAAAAAAACATAAAGAGTTGAGATATTCTCTGTATTATCTGGCTTGTCTGCGGCACTTTGACATGGTGTAATGATTAGCAAACTTGTCTCACTAGATCAGTTATGACTGAGTAGCGAGTTTGATCCTCACTGGATGCCCCATACTTTCAGCCTTATGGCTACACTTAATAAATCACTATTATCTGGCTTGCCTGAAATGGCTGTACATTTTTGCTGCATTCTACTGTAATAAATGACCTTGTGTCATCCTTTATAGTATCAAGTATCTGAAATGAATTATGGCTTCATATTTCATTGTAATTAATATCGCCTAGAATTCGATCAAATATATATTTTTTAATGTTTCTCATTGAAATTCAACTGAAAATTTTTAAAATGCAGTGATATAATCCAAATATTAATTTATTTTTTAATATTTTCTTCTTGATCCATAAAATTCTTTGTTTAAGAGTTATCTCCCTTAGATTTTGGTACTGCATGACAAACTGAATTTTACATTATTTCAGTCATCAAAAATAGTTTTTTTTTTTTTTAAATATTTTTGTAAAATCATTCCCCTCTCTCTCTCTCTCTATATATATATATATATATATATATATATATATAATGGTGTAAATATTATATTTTTCAGATCTTATTAAAAATAGATAAGCATATATATAAGTGGCTAGCAATCAGGAGCTAACTTGCTCAACAAAAATTATAATCATATTTAATTATTATTTTTATATAATAATTTTTATTTAATGTTTTGATGCTGTGACCCCTGACCTTCTCAGATAAACAAAACTGACATTTTTATCAAATGATGATTTATTATTATCTTTCTTTGACTAATAAATTTTTTATTGGTATTTTTCTCATTTATTAGGTTGGTGCAAAAATAATTTCAGTTTTCTCACATAGTAACATATGTTAGAAAACGAAATTATTTTTGCACCAATCTAATAATTCATTTCTCATCCTTTTCTAACCATTTTTTTTTCTTTTCTTTTTTCTTCATAGCTGCTTCTGAAGGTGGTGCTAATGTGTTCGAAGTCTCCTACTTCAAGACTTCAGCTTATTTGGCTCAGTCACCACAACTTTATAAGCAAATGGCAATTTGTTCTGACTTTGAAAAAGTCTTCACTGTTGGAGCAGGTGAGTCATTATTTTTTTTTTTTTTCTTTTTTGAAACTAATGTTCACCCAATACGAGGCCCAAGAGCCACTCCAAGTAGAGAATTACTGTGTGGTATTGTATGAGTGTAAGAAAAAGCAAGAAATGAAGTTCTTCGGGCTATCAGGAAAGATAACAACAACTTCTAGTGAATAACGTTTCAGAGTTTAGGCAGAGACATTAGCTGTATAGTGTGGAAGTAGACTTTAGAATGAACCCAATTCTGAACAGGAAACAAGGGATAGATCTCTACTCTTGTTCAAAAGACCGGGGAGGAATGTGAACAGGGCGATATCTACTGCAACTAATTTCTCATTTGCTACAAAATTTCTTGTTATTTTCCCCAGAATTGCCAAAATCAGTTGGAAGTTTCTTACATTAGAATTCTTTTGCTGCATACTGATGAGTGTTAAAATTCTCACAGTATTTAGTATTGTTGAAGTTATTGCAAACCAATCGATAGAATTTGTATAAACTGATTTGTTTGGAGAAATACTTTAATAAAAACCCTACTTTATGGTTTAATAGAGGACTTCATGGTAAACGATATTTTTAAGAATTTTTTTTTTTTTTTAAATTTTTCTACTACACTTGAAATCCTCTGCCCATTTGAAACTTTCTCTATGGTGTTTATATTTACTGTGCATTATATTTTACCAGAATGAAATATATATAAAAATTTACAAAATATTCAAAAAATGATATTGCATTTTTAGCAAATAAGTATCTGTTATTTTAATCATTAAATTGTTTTTAAAATAGTGGGAATATTTTGTATGTGAAATAATAAAACTTTTCATTTTTCTAAAAGAATTAATGAAAATTTATTGTACTAAGATACGCACTCGAGTGAAACCAACTGTACTTTGTACCCACTTACCTGTTTGCACTTCTCTCCAAAATTTGGTTTCAATCAGTCAGTGTATAACTATTTGAGAGGGTGTGATGGATGGACAGATAGACTAACGGAAGTCACAAAATTTTATATATAAGAAGTTAACTGTCAGATTCAAATAGCAATCACCTTAAAAAGAAATTTCTGATTACTTTCTGGAAAATAATTTTGTTTTCTTTTTTAAATAAAAATTTTATTTTATCTTAGAAGCAAGCAAATTATGCTTCCTGTAACAATTATAGAATTTATGATTTGGAGAATATGTTTAGGATCTCCAAAAAATTTTCTCTAAAAATTCCAGACATTTATTGATTTCTAAATGACTTCGTGCCAAAGATAAACTTCATAAATAGGTTTACACTATAAGTCAGCAGTGGAATTTTGAATCTTAAGGCCTAATCTTATTTCATAATGAAGACTCTCATACAATATTAATTTCTATGCTTGGCCTACTGAGCATGTTATTATAATTTAGGATTTTTCTTTAATCCAACAACTGATGAATAGCTTTCTCTATTTGATAACTTTTTCCTATTTTATTTTTCTAAGAAACTTGTTAGAAAAATAGGAAAAAGTTATTTTGAAGTTCTCAGCTTTAATGTTCAAGAAGACCTCAACTGAAATATAATGGCTAAAACAAGAAAGATGAGGATACTCGTTTGAATATGAAAAGATGGAAATGCCAAAACCATTTTAAAATTCAATTCCTGAGTTTTTCCAAATTTAATGTTTCCAAAGAAAAGATGATTTCAGGTTTTGTAAAGTGACTCAAGTCATTCCTCTTCAAAAAAGAGATTGTAAAAATGGTAGTGTTTAGGGAAGCATCCATGCATGTGTTTATTCCACCGAGTAGCAGTTCTCTGGAAAAGCTATCTGAGTGACACTTCCTCCTTACAAATGGAATATGGAGGAAATGTGGCTGATTCAACTCTGTGAATGTAGCATATTAAGTGTTAGCTCTAAAGGTCTGAACTGGTAGGATTCTTTAACAATCTTGTAAAATCTATCTTCTCTATTTTTTTGTTTTTTTTTGTTTTTAAATTTTCGGTAATTCTTTTTTTTAATCTTTTCTCCCAATAAATGTCTCTCAGTTTTCCGTGCTGAAGATTCCAACACACATCGTCACTTGACTGAGTTTGTTGGACTCGACTTGGAGATGGCATTCAGATACCATTATCATGAAGTGATTGATACAATTGGTGATTTGTTTGTGTCTATCTTTAAAGGACTTCAAAATGAGTAAGTATTTTTCATGGATTTCTTATTCTGATGCTATTTTTTTTATATCCCTCTCTTATTTTATTGTTTTAAATTAGATTCTTATAAAATTATATATATAGAATTCAACGCTTAGAGGCGACAGTCTGTTTCATGCTAGATGCAATCATCAGGCCTGACGATGGCGTCTAGCATGAAACAAACTGTTGCCTCTAAGTGTTGACTTCTATGTTCACTTTTATATTTACACACGCTCTATATCTGATCTTGAACACTTTGTCCCATAAATATAGCACATCTTAAGACTATATTTCTTTATATATATATATATATATATATATATGTGTGTTTTAAGACATTTTTTTATGTTTATACTTTCTTTTTTATAGATGCAAATATTTAAGTAAACGCTTTGTTTATAATAAACAGTATTAATGACATTTACCGCCCTGAATGTCCGAGAAATTATCATAGAAAATGTGTGTCCTCTAACAGGAATCCTCCTGTGTGGCTAAATCGGTAAAGCACGTCAGGCTATATGACGGTTCTGTGTGGTATACAAGTTCAATTCCCCCCCCCCGTTATATCTATTAGAATCTTATATTAATACAGTGTAACCCGGATATAAGAGAGATTTTCTCTGGTCCCAAATTAGAGCCTGTGTTAATGTATATAAAATAGACCAAACCCGGATATAAGAGAAACCCGGATATAAGAGACTTCTTCTCCGGTCCCGACAACTCCCTTATATCCGGGTTACACTGTACATATTTACCAATCTCACCAAAAATGCTGACATTGTCCTTAAGGTTTTCACCTGTGAGTCTTTTAAATATATTTTCCAATTATTATATTCTTCTATGTACCGTGTCCTTTCAGGTCATGAGCAATCATGGCTCTCCACAATTTTCTGTCCTTTTGCAGCTCTGTGTAAAGTTAATTATTATATTAATAGATAGTTATTCCGAGATATGTTTGTTTATTATTGTTGAAACTTGGATAAGCATGGAATAATAATATTACAACACAAATGTAATGCTAACAAAATGTATTGAAACAAGGAAAAAGGTACACAATATTTACAGTTAGTTTTGGTATATTCTTGGGAAGACTGTTCCTGCATAATGGGTTGATTAAATACGTAGTCGGGCAGAGAGTCTCTGATTCGATCTCTTCTTTAATCTCTTTTTCCCCGTCTTCGGTACCAACCCATATTTATATGGTCGGTAATTCACTTATGTAAATTAGGTGTATTATACACAACACCCTCCTCCCAAGCCTTTGAACCCTTTTTGATTTCAAATTGGCTTCCTATATGGGTTGATGATCTTGTAGATCCATTTGCCTAATTTTAATATAATTTTCCGCTTTGGATTCACGCTCAATGGGTCCGTTAACTTTCGTTTCCTACCGGATCTTCTTGGTTCAGGTATTCTGTGGAGGTTCTACCTGAAACATATCATACATTATATCAATGGGATCTTTCGTCCTCATCCCGTATACACTCTTCTTGCTCTATACCGTAATCTTTTTTAAGTTGGTTTTGGTGCCTTTATGTGAAAATCATAATTGAGAAGAATGGTTCCCCATCTTAACAGACGATTTGCTGTATAAATGGGTAACCCTTTTTGAACCAAAATAGTGATCAGTGGTTTATGATCCGTTTCAAGGATAAATGTCTGCCGGATGTACCTGTGAAATTTTTGTATGGCAAAAATGATACTCAGTGCCTCTTTTTTCTATCTGAGAGTAACTTTTTTTCTCCTGGGAGCAAAGTTCTCGAAGCGCAGTAATTGGTTTTCTAGAACCATCTGGCATTATGTGTTGAATACACACTCCTATCCCGTATGAACTAGCGTCACTTGCCACTGCAATATCCAGTTTTGGATTGTAATGGTTAAAAAGAGGTCGGACGTAAGCATTTTCTTTTATTTCATCAAAGGCTTTTCTGACATTCTACCGTCTTCATTCCCATGCCTTGTCTTTTTTTACAGTTCATTCAACGGAACTCTTAAATTGTACATTCCTTTTAATGAACGCTTGATAATAATTTGCAAGCCCTAGAAAACTTTGTAGCATCGCCACATTAGTGGGCGTCGGCATGTCTCTCTAATCGCAATGGACCTTTCCGGATCTGGACATCTACCATTTTTGTTGATTATGTGCCCTAAATACTTAATTTCCTCCAAACCAAATTCTCCTGCATTCTTTTGACTCTTTGACTTTAAATCCAAAGTCCTGAATCTTTTAAATATTTGATTGAGATCCTCTCGATGTTCGTCGTCAATCGATTAAACCCTTACTATGATGTCGTCTAAGTAAGCGCACGCAAAGTCTAAATCATTCAGCATGACGTCCATAGCTTGTTGAAAAATGGCAGGTGCCACTTAATACCAAAAGAAGCCTGTTTTACTTGAATAACCCTCTATGTGTTTATCCCTAGTAACTTGAACATTCCTCTTCGACGGAATTTGGAGATAGGCATCTGATAAGTCAATTTTGAAAATATAACTCCACCATTTAGCTTGTTAAAAATCTCCTCCGACTCGGTAATGGTAGTCCTTAATTACCGAGTTCAACCCTGTCGAAAAAAATCAACTCAGACTCTAACTTGGTTTGATTTCTTTTATGCACACAATCGGCGCAGCCCATGAATTAGATTCTACTTTCGAAATAATTCCCATTTTTTCCAACCTATCAAGTTCTTCGTTAATTTTTCTACACTTGCGAAAGGCACATTACGTTTCTTTTTAAAAATTGGCATAGTATTTTCCTTTAATTCGAATTTGGCTTTCAAACTTGTTACATCTTCCAAGACCAGGTGTGAAAGTTTCGGAAACTTTTTTTTAATTCCTCATTAATGTCCTGTCTTGTTTATGATTACTTTTCTACTTTTCTGCAGAAAGAGTTTAACGGTTTATCCCAATTGAATGTTTCAATAAAATCTGTACCCATCAAATTTTCCCATTTTTCAGAATGAAAACTTTTATTTTTTAACTATCCTGTTCAATTTCATGGGAAGTACAACCTCGAATTTAATTTACCTTTCCAGTCACTGTTCGAAAGCGTTCGTTAACTTCATTATTGTAGGCCTTTTTAAAATTTTCCATGTTTTATAGTTCATTATTGTTAAATCTGAACCGAATCGAGTTGAAATTTGATATTCTTTTTAAATATTTCAGTCATCACATACTCCTCAAATCTCTATCTGATTTGATATTTGAATTTGTTTGTCTAATTCGCTATTGACTTTTTTCGTTTTACAACACGACCCTTTTGTGACCATTCTTAAAGGCACACGAAACATTTTTTTATTTCTATAGGGCACTTTACCTCCCAATGTCTCTTTCGTTGCACTGCTGTCACAATTAAATGGCGGAACCATTTTTTTTTCCCTCCTTTTTTTCATTTAATTTTTTTGTCTATTTTTAAAATACGCCGAATTTTTAATCCAATTTTTTCTGATGGGTAATTTGACTGTTTCTTCACTTTTTTTAATATAAGCAATACCAGCTTCTTCAATTTTTTGAGACTCTTTTCTTTAAACTTACGGCCCGGCTGACACCCTCTGCTAACTTTTGCAGGGTAAGGTTTTTTCAGATTCGAGTTTAGACAAAACTCTACGTCTTATTTCGGCACTTTACTGGATACCAGTCCTTGAGCAAAAATTAAACACTTGAATTCTTCAACCGTAATCTCTGCCAATCTGAAATTGTCACAATGTCTATTCACTATCGATGCTTAAGTTAAGTAATCCTGATCGTCGGATTTAGCTACATTCATGCATAACCATCTCTTATGCCAAAGCGACATATTTTGCTCCAAACAACTCTTTAGCAATTTTGCACTGTTTCCGAGAATTCCAATTCATTTGTTCTTCTCGGTAGTATAAAATCTACAAATTTGCTATGTTCTGCTGTACCTAGCTTTTTAGTAATAGACTGACTTTTCTTGAATTCGACCAGTTTTCACAGTCTGTGTGAAAATATCTTCATATCGCTTAAAAGCACGCTTCAAACATTTTTCCTTCTGTCTGGCACATAGTTGAAAATTTCCAAATCGAATTTAATATGATGTTATTAGAATATGAAGAGTTACTTTCATTTGCCTGAATGTTGTTTAATTTCTCCAATGTTAACTTTTTTGAATTTCCAAACCTTGACATACATTTCTTCCTGTTCCCTTTGACGTTGCTGACTCAACTCCTTTGCCTTTTCTTGATAATTCTGCTGTGCTAATTGCTGTTTTTTAATAAGGCAAACTGTTCACTTTGTTGTTGCAGACTCAACTGCTGGGATTTGACTAACTCAGCTTGACTCAACTGCTGGGCTTTAAACAATTCAGCTATGACTGGATAATTCCTCCATTTTTAACTGATAGTGTCCATGCAACAAAGAATATACTTTAAATTGTGTATCCACGAATATACTATAAGCAGACAAAAAATCGAAACAACTTACGCCTTTTTTAATTTTATGTCTTGCTTTTATAAAATATTGTTGAGCAACCAAACAAAAAACAAAATAACAAATTTTTTTTTTTAAGTTTTACCTTTCAAAAGTCGACACGTTATTTGTGCTCCTTTTAATTCCATGCATGTTTTTTTTTAGTCGGCCAGCTTTTTTTTTTTTTTTTTTTTTTTTTTTTCTTTTTTAGTCCAGCATTTTTTTTTTTTTTTTTTCGCCAGTTATTTGTTTACGCCACCTTCCAGATTTTTCTGAGTGAACATTCCTTTAAGCTTAGTCATCCTTTAACTAGTTTTTTAACTGCCCAAACTTCAGAATACTTTTTCCGTTCCATTAGATGTTCGACTTTTTAATTAATGATTTTTTTTTTTCTTCAGCCTGGGTTCTTCCACTTGTCCCAATTGTTGAAGGCTATCAATTATTAATTTTTTTTTTTTTTTCGTAACGTAAAGTTCTTTATACCTCATCGCCATTGTTGAAGCTTGATAAGCATGGAATAATAATATTACAACACA